TGTCACACATGCTTTCCTTTAGCAATCCTCATGAATCAGCAAAGAGCTGCCGAAGAGTGACCACCAGGGCACTTGGGAAAGAATCAGGTGCCAGTTGTCAAAGTATTTCTTGGTGATTTACTTCATTTTCCTATATCTCTCTATCCACTTGGAGGAACAGGCCAGAGAGGAGCATTTACATATTTGCATTTTACAGGACAGACTGCAAAGAAGAAATGTTGTCATGCAGGAGCAGGAGGGAAGATTTCTTTCCTGTCAGCAGATGCAAAAAGATATTTCAATTCCTGTGATTTCTCCCAAGATCTGCATTAGCAAGTCCAGTGTGTGGAGTGTGTGTGTCCTGTCACGGGTGGGCACCAGGCAGTGCAAAGGACATGCACATCCATAGCTCCTCCTCGTCTTTGTCCCCCTCTTCCCTTCCGTTTGGGAAACATTAGGGGCTTACACACATTCAAGAAAAACTTCCAGCATGACTGATATTGCCAGTAGCCTGTTTCAGGGAGGTCAGAAATCAGCCATCTTGAATTCCAGCGATGAAAACTGTGGATACAGATTGCAAAAAGTGTGGCCATCCCTCAGCAGGGTATTGCTTCCTGGTTTGTACGCTGGGTTAAGAAGGCAGCTGTTCTGGAGACAGCCCCATCCTTCATGACCCAAAGGACTGGTGTAGAGAGGGATTACTCAGACTGTGATGCTGCTTTGTTCCTCTATTTAATTTCTTCTTTCTCTGGTTGCACAGTTTAAAAGTCACTTTAGTTTTGGGGTTCTTAAGCTCTGATCATGCTTGTGACCATGATGCCCCACTCCTTGGTCCCAGCCAAAAGAAGGTGGGACTGAGGAGAGGAAAAGAGGCAAGTGAAGTTTCACTAATTAAATATAAACTACTAACTGCACTGAGTCCAGCTTTCAATTTCCCAAGGTTACTTCTAGAAAGCCCTTTTTTAGTATAAGAAAATTGTCATCCTTCTGGGAGAAATGCAGCATATAAGAGCAAAAAGAGTGATACTTTTGTGTAATATTCCTACTGTGATGGAACCCAGCTGGAAATAAGGAGGATGCCTCCTTCTGCTTCACTCTTCTGATAACTGCAAATGGCCAAAAGTTGCAAGTTGAGAGGATCCCTCACCAATCAGCAATGGGAGATTAACTTTATCATTAACCTTGTCTGTGCCCTCACCAATTTAATTGGCATTGGCCCAGGTCCCAGACCCGAGGCCAAGAAATATAGAGCAGAGTTTGGTCGGGTGATGCAATGAGAGCTACTTCTCTCTCCAGCCATCCTGGACTGGCTACGTGTTGTCTTGATCCCTTGGCACAGAGCACAGGGTCTTTCCATGTCACCAGCAAGACTTCCAGCCAGTATAAATGAGCATAACATAACCAATGTCAATAAAGAAGGGTTTGCAACCCTTAAGAGTCTAACCACAATTATTAAACTCTCCTTGAAATTTTTATTTTTAGTTCCCTTTTAAAAAAAGTCTTTGTTACCCATCTCCTCACTGTGGGTAACCTCATTCTCTCCAAGCTCCAGCTGGAACCTGCATTACACTTTGCTCAGTGCCCTGTTGCAAAAAACATTCCCCATTCACAGCACTAAATCCCCTGCACATGCTCCTAAAATATCTTTTGTGGTTCCTCATGCCTAACTAAACAATGCAAAATCCTGATTCTCTGCATACCTCCCACAGCCATCCCAGCTGCTCCTGACACCTTTGCTTTCCCCTAGGCCCTCTTCACTCATCTGAAGTTACTCATCAGGAATCCCCTCCTCCATCACTTCTCTCAGTTCTTTCTTTCATTGGATCACTTTTGGGGAGTTAGGAGAAAGAAGTTATTTTAAATAAAACCTTAACAAATTCTTCCTCTCACATTAGTTTTAAAACTTCCCATCGTAACAAGATTTGAGCAGATCCATAAAGATATGCTCATTTCTGGATGTTCAAGTCATCCTAAAGCCCTCTGGCCTGGGCTGTGGGTTGATCATGACACCATAGCCTCATGGTAATCCACATGACCTGTTTGGCCTTGAGAGCTTCTGAGCATGGCTCTAGGCAGTCTTTTTGCAGGGATCTGAGAGTCAACAAATGCTCCCCAGCAGACAAATCTGCTCTTGAGAGCAGACTGGAACCCTGTGCAGATGCTGCCTTTGAGTCACATCTTCCCCATCTCCCTTTTATACTCTGTCCCCAAAAGTAGCTACCCTGAGGCATTTGCTTTGAAAGGACATAATCATATTGTTCCCCCTCATTATCCCTATTCCCAGCATCTGCACCTCATTGTACGGTCATCTCTTCCCATCATTTTCTCTTAATTTAGTTTGGAAACTCTCTGGAGCAATGAGACATCATTATCTATTTTGTAAAGCGCCATTCAGAGCCGTGGCAGAGCGGCGCACATACGTGACAGAAATCCTCCCCTTCCATTCTGCTCCAGAAGAAATGCAGAGCGGCTTAGCGCTCAGTGCTCGCTGCGCAGCACGTGCTGCCAGCTTTCCCTACAGCACAGGCGAGAGCTCAGCAGGCTTTGGTCTTCACACAGTGCTGTGGGAGGCGTCCAGCTGCTCCACTCCTGACAACCACAGTCCCACAGAACACATTTTGATGCAGTTTCTGGAGTGCCAGAGCAATGATGCTCAGTAAGAAGGTGATTTCACCACCTGCAAAGTCAGGAGTATGCAGGTTTCTCTGCTGGTTTGGGAACATCCACAGGGCGCTTGCAGCATTGTAATGTACTCAGTGCAGCTCCAGCACACACAGCTGAGCTCCAGTAGCACGTGTCAACATCGCCCTGTATGTTCCTCTCCTACAGACAACCCCACAGTCAAAGGCAGGGCAATTCCTTGGGTCAAAGGGAAGAAGAATTTTGTGGAGTGAAATCCTGTGGCTCTTTGGAAAGACATCATTTCCACTGCAGCTAACAGTGCAGCCTGATGCTGGTTACAACAGGCAGTAGAATTGACACTGCTCTGGGAAGACAGAGGAACATCCAGCAGAATTGCTGATGCATCAGTTTTTTCCTCTATGCCCCTGCAAAAATGCGTATATATTGTAAATGGTTGGGTTCAATGATGTCAAATGATTCTTTGAGTCTTCCTGGGGTCACCTATAGCTTACCAAAGTTAATGTGCTGAGAACTGGGCTAGATGTCAGATCCTCAAACTAGTTTTCCTGAGATACCCTGGAGAACTGCGAATTGGCCACTGGATGGTTACTGAAACAATTAATAATCTCCCTTCCTTTTTAATAATGATAAAATATCTTTAATGGAGACCCAAAAAACCAGCACAGATGATACTGCCTGCAGCAATGACAAAAGTTCTTTACTTGTTGCTAATCATGTAGATCACTATGCACATCCTGATGTTCCCCTGACATTGAGCCTGTGTTCAGATCTGTGTACAGTCATGGCAGTGAGGGGAAAGTGCTGGACTGGGAGACAAGAGACCTGGGCTCTGAGCCTGACCTAATTGTGAACGGTCACCTAAACTTGGGTCCAGTCCTCTCCTATGCCTGTGCTTCTGTTTGTATGTCCGCCTTTGAAATGTTCTTTAAAATATATTCAAATTAGATTTTATTTTGTAAACTTACATAGGACTGATCCAAACAGTGAGGACCCACCTCCGTGGGAGTGGAACTGAGCAGCGGCACGATCGTGTTACAAGCCCCAGCATTCCTGGACTGGGCACTGTAGATGCAGCTGCACTGACCTCACAGGCAGATCACTCATGGAGCGATTCCTGGTCTCGGGCATGAAACCCAGAAGAACCATGAGATGTTGGTTCTGACCTTGGCCATGCTCAATCAAGCCACTCACTTGCTCACCACATTACAAGTGAAACATGGAAAGAGTTTAGCATTCAAGCTGTGTGACCTAGCTGAAAGGAGACAGGAATGATGTCAAGGTTTTGTGCATGAAGTGTCCATGACAAAACATTAGCTTAGGTCAGACACTACTGAAATGTGAAAGGGAGGATGACTATCAGCCTATCAACAACCAAAACAGGGAGCCACTGCCGTTTTACGCAGCAATACATGCCTTTTCTCCGATTTGTAAAACCACCGGCCTGGGTAGTAACTGGACTCCCATTACCAACACTTTTGGATTGGGAAGTAGCAGCCTGGGCCAGGTAACAGCGCTAGGAACCACCGTGCCCAGATATGCCAACAGCTAGAGCATTTGTGCTCGTTTCTGCTATTTAGATACAATTTGTGTTCAAAAACGAGGCCGTGCCCCCCATCGCATCCGGTCTGTACCTACACACAGGGGGGCAGCGCGCTCATCCACAAGGCGCCGGGGTTGCGGGTCCGCGCTGAGGGGAGCGGCAGCGCTCCCTGGGCACGGCGCGGTGCCGGCAGGTGCCGGGGCTCCCCGCGCGGGGCACGGCCGGGGCAGCCCGGGCCGGCTCCGGAGGAGATGCCGGGTGGCCGGGGACCGTGAGACGGGCAGGGACAGCCCCGCCGCCGGCACCCGCTTTCCCTAATGGGCATGTGCGGCGCTCGCACATGCCCACTCGGGCCGCGCGGTGCCGGCGGGCTGTGCCGCGCCAAGCTGCCGGCGCCGCCGCGGTAGCCGTGCGGCGGGAGCGCGGAGCGCGCCGTCGGGCACCCCGGGACGCGGCCGGCCCCCGTCGCCGGGGGAAGCGCCCGGACGTTTCTGGCGGCGGGTCCCCGCAACAAAGCCCCCCACGAAACACACCCGATTACCCCTCCGGGGGGGGCGGCCGTTCCGCGGCCCGCCGCCCGCCCGTCGGGGCCGCGAGCAGCCTGCGCTGCTCCGTCGTCCCGGGGGCGGCGGTGCCGGCGGCG